AGCTTCGGATCCTGTTCATATTCCGAAAGACGAATTGCAGTGCTATACGTGGCTGCATCACAAACGACTTCTGGCTGTTGATCATTCCATAATCCAGGATCCACATTGAATTTCTTGATTGGATCCTCATCCACCTGGCATTTCGACTGTTTTCTTTTCTCTTCTCCTCCAGAATAATGAACAGAAGTACGGTAAAATACCTCGGGAATCTTCTCTTTCCTGTGGATCTCTCCAAGATTTCGAAGGAAATCTGCAGTGATCTTTGCAGATTTCACAGTAATCCCAATCAATGGCATAAATGCTTTGACGACTCCTCTACAGTAATCATCATCTACTTTCGAATTCTGATTGAATGCTCTTTTACTTGTTGTCCTTATGAATAATCCCTCTTCAGTCATAATCGATGGATAGTAGATTTCAAAGTATCTCTTCCTCAAATAATCCAAATGTGCCATTGTAATAGGGGGAGTGGATTCACAGAGAACCATGGCTTTCACAACGGATCCATCCACTTTTAGAAGAGATTTTGGAGGGAGAGAGTAGGGATATCCATCGAATGCAATCATCAAATGAGGTCCCTTGTCATGGATCAGATCAGAGACGGTTGGTTCGGTGGAGCGAGCCCAGATTTGGTGGACGTTGGTGAAGTATTCTGGAATCGTCTGTGTAGTTTGTAGTCTGTATAGTTTGTAGTTTTTGTAGTTTGTAGTCAACACCTAGACATCTAGATGTATACATCTAGACGCAGACATCTAGACACTCTGTGTCTGTGCCTTACCCTCTATCTCTCTCTCTGTCTCTCTCAACTACAAATACTACAAACTACAAAGCTACGAACTACAAAAATACACACTACGAACTACAAAAACTACACACTACAAACTAGGAAAGCTACAGACACGTCATCTAGACGCAGACACCTAGACACTCTCGTTGTCTGCGTCACCCCTCTCCTAGTTTTCCATCCGTTTTACATAAGGTGAGAGTGCAGACACGCTAGGCACATGCTGACCTTTTGTAGGATTTGTAGTTTCTATAGTTTTTGTAGTCTTTGTAGTCTTTGCAGTCTTTGTATCCACTCACCATACCAATACCTAATCAACACTTCCCGATGAATCATTGGCAACGTGGCCTTCTTCGTCTCACAGAATTTCTCAGCCTCATCAAACGACATCATTCTCTTCTCCATGAAATAACATCTTCCAAAATATTGAATCCATCCATCCGGACATATTAGAGTCACTCCAATATTACAAATTGTCTTAGAAGTTAGATAATTAGCACCATGAACATGATAAGGGGCCTGTTGATCGAAGTGATGGTGATGCTCATGAGGATCGTATTCCACGTTTCGTTCCGGTTGAAGAGCCAGTTCACAATGATCACCACGGATATCCTGAAGTCATAGATTAGGAGTGAGGTAGAGGAAGAGGGGGAGGCGCAGACGGCGAGAGTGTCTAGGTGTCTGCGTCTAGTTTCCTAGATTTGTGCGCCTAGACGGCAGACGGCGACAATGTCTAGGTGTCTGCGTCTAGACGACAGGCAACGAGAGTGTCTAAGTGCCTGCATCTAGGTGTCTGCCTCTAGATGTCTAGGAGTCTGCGTCTCGTTGTCTAGTTGCCTAGAATTGCGTGCCTAGACGGCAGACAACGAGAGTGTCTAAGTGTCTGCGTCTAGATGTGTAAATACATATCGACTCGATGTCTAGGTGTATGCGCCTGGCTGTTTAGGTCCCTGTGTTTAGGTGTCTGCATCTAGATGTCTAGGTGTCTGTGTCTAGACGGCAGACAACGAGAGTATCTAGGTGTCTGCTTCTAGATGTCTCAGTGCCTGCGTCTAGATGCTTCGGTGCCTGCGTCTAGTTGTCTAGATGTCTGCGTCTAGATGACAGACAACGGGAGTGTCTATGTGCCTGCGTCTAGCTTTCTCTACAGTAACCCTCACCCTAATTCCATTCCTCGCTTGATACTTTCCACCATAAAACTTGCAAAAACTCTCGAATGACTTGTCCTGTCCGTTGATACAAGTGATGAGCGATAAGAGGAACCAGTGGATTGTTTTCATGATTATTGATTTTTTTCTTTGAATTTTTTGAAATAGAGTTCTCTGACCTTTTGAATATTCTCCGTGAAACCCTTTCAAAACAAGGTTTCGGTGTTTCTAGAATTCCGGGATGCCACGTGATATCCAATCTGGTCCCTATAAATAAGAGGGGGTTCTCTTCAATCTCTTCACTTCTTTACAAATACATGACATCAAATCCATTTTGGAGGATAATGAAGATCCACAAGCTACTCCTTTTCATCATTTCAATTTTAACTTTTATCGATTGTCTACGGAGACACCCGACACTAACGATTCGATTGGAAATGAAGTGTGCCGCGAGGAAGAAAGTTTGCCTTTTCGTCGAGGCTTTCGAGGACCAGGAGATGTGAGTCTGTGGGCGGGGATGGGAGCCGAACCGCGACGCGGAGAGCCTAGCAACAGTAATCGTTGAGGTGAGACGCGTTGCGGTCGCGTCGCGTCGCCGCTGAAGACAACAAACTGCAAACGCTACAAAGACTACAAACTACAGTTCAACCGCAAATTGTAGTTTGTAGTTTGTATTCTATGCCCTTTACACTCCTCATCCCTTCCTTTCTTCCAGATTCGAGCAGCTCCTGACCCGCTACGACCACTGCGATGACGTCATGACCCAGGATGAATCATTCCGCAACATGAACGATGATAACTGGAATCCCCTCCAACCCTATGGAATGATCTCCGAAATAATCAATGTCACAATGAATCCATTCCCTGTTGGATCCATTCAAACTTCTGGAAGAGTGGTAAGGATGATGATGCAAATGCGCTCCAATCTAAATCTGAATTTCCAGGACCAATTCAACATGACTCTTTTGATCAGTCATAATTGTGTGTCGGACGGAGAAGTGAGATGTTTGCGGAGCACATTCTTTTATAAGGGTGGAGGGACTCATTTGAGCTTGCTGGGGGATCTGACGAATGCTGGAGAGAATGGGGCTTGTTCGGATCGGTGGAGAGGAACTCATTTGTGGAGGGATAGTCTTTAATAAAGTGTTTTTTTAATTAGTTTCTGTGACTGTTCATTTTTTTTTGTAATCAAAGAATTCAGGTGGTGATACAGTCTTAGACACCACTAACAAAATGTACCTTATCTAATTTTGCACATTTTTTAAATCTGAAGTTACAAAAAAGAAACTTCTTTGTATCTTTACTGTTCAAGAGTTCAATCAACAATTTATGCTCATCTAATTGATCATTTATCAATGTATTCTCATCGAATATTCTAATTTTCCACATCATCCCATCAAACTGCATATTCTTCCCCTATACTCAGTCAGTTCTATCATCAAGTACTATGGTGTTCTCTCCTATACTCGTTTTATTACTCTTCTTCCCTATCTTTATCGACGGAAACTGTGGAGTATCTCAAAAATGTCAATGTAAAGATATTCCGAATGCACCTTCTGGAAGACTTTCTGAAATTGAATCAGCTAAACATTTGAGTCATCGACAAACCTTTTCAGCCGGATTAACGATCAGTGACACTTGTAAAGTTACTGTAGATATTTCAAAGAGTACTGTAGCCAACTTCTTTCTGGTATTTCGAAGAGATCTAGAGAATCCTTTGATTGTAAGTGTTGACTCGAAAAAACTCCACTCTAAACTATATAATTCAGTTTCGTCGCTTCACAAAATCAATGGATAAGAGTATTCCAGTTGAATTAACAGATTTGAAATGTGTGAATGAGGGAGGAGATGAATTCAAATGGTATCATGGACCGGTTAAAGTTGCTGATAGTTTTGAAGTGACTCTTCTGAGTGATGAAGAATGTGGATGCGTTATACCAACTGGTGAATATCCAATTGAAGTAAATCAACTGGATGGATCATGCAATGGATACCATTTGAAATGTCCAGGAGGACAGGTCCCCAACTTGGCACATGAACCAATACCAGTACAAACTCCGTTGATTGTAAGTTACAAGTGTAGTTGTGTTCGGTGCAGCTTGATAGAGACTGAGATAGAATCTGTACTAGGAACCAACCAAAAATATGGAAAATTTAGAAAGCTTGCTGAGCCCAAACGCTGGCTATTGGACCTATCCAAGTCTGAATTCAGGAAGGATTACGCTTGCATACCAAGCATTCTAGGAAAAATTTAAATTCAATAAAACAATTAAAACATACGGATATAACAGAATATTCACACTTTCAATAAAGTTCTGTGCTCATTTTATTCGAACATGATCTCCCCAACGTTTCTAATAATTACAGGAAGCTGTATCCGAAGAAATTATTCTTGCGGAGACAACTTGTGTTAATGGAAATCTCTACTTCGAAGGAACAAAATTAGAAGAACCGAGATTCTTCTGCATGTACTTACTTTCAATTCTCAAGAGATTGTTGATTTCGGTATGTGTCTCGAACCAACTCACGAATTCATTTTCTGCTTTAATACTTTCAAAGCATTTTCCAGTTACAAAATGCCGATGTGATTACGATTTCGTCCCCACATCGATTACATTGGAGGATATGAGCCGAGAAAACTGGGATAAGTTCACAAGAGTGCTCTCAATAACTGGCGACCTAAAAACTCGGACAAGTGTCTATGGAAATTTTGAATTAAACATCACTGATTGTTCTTCCAAGTTGATATGTCCTGAGGGTAAGACGCCGACAATCTTGAGTGCAAGCTATAAACCAATTATGGTAATATCTCACTCGCTGTCAAGTTTCTAAAAATTGATTTTTTCAGTACGAATTGAACGAATCGCCCATTATTCATTGTGCAAGCCCGCCTGCTTCTTATGCATTTTCCCAAACAACAGATAGCAACTGGTGGGCAAAAGGTGTTCAAGTTAAATATTTGCATTACACTTGTTACGATTAAGAATGAGTAATTTCACAATAAAAGAACTTTTTCAACATTTCTGCTTCACACTGAATCTTTATGTAATCAAAAAACAAAAAGCATTTGCCAGGGAGAGGAATCGAACCCCTAAAGGATTTCTCATCCACAGACTCGTGAGGCCTGCGCCTTTGCCACTTGGCTACCCTGGCAACGGTGGAATTAGAGTGAGGAAGGGAGATAAATGAAATTTTAACATGAGCAATAAAGGGTTACTGTAGAAAAGTTTATGGTAGTTTTATTTTGAAGCAGGAGACAGGATTTTCAGAGAGGACTGGTGTAAAAAGCACTGATTTTCAGTAGAAAAGGTCATCAGTGAGGTTTTTTTAAATGCAAATTCTAGAATGAACTCTATCTTTTGCTACAAGAAAGTACTCGAAATTCCCAGACAAAAGATTCATTCAAAAGAGCACCGAGTTCATTTTTTCAACACTTTTCCTTCGATTCATTCTGAGTAGTCTGTTCCATCGAGCAGGTATTGTTCAACTTCTTTCGGAACTTTTGAATCGAAGCTCTCGGATGGTGACGCTAGAATTCAATACCAATTGGTGTTTGAAGTAGTATATCTCAACTAGAAGTGCTAGTAGCAAAAAGTTGTCAACTAATAAAATGTTCCATGTGTAATTTTACACAAATCACTAGTTGACAATTTCTCCATATCTTCACAAAGAACTGAGGTATAGAGCTCCAAACTTTCCAATACTCACATCATACTTAACACTCAAAAGACGCTTCTTATCAAAAGAAACATTCGTCACAACACACGTCTTCAGCTGGAATTGTTCAGTGGAAGCAGCTGTTTTCTGAGGAGCAGGCTCTTCTACAGTACGATTCGGACGAGGTTCATCTCCATCGTTGCTTTTAGATGCAATGAATCGTTTCATGGCAACTGGAAATGAAAACTGTTGGAGGGCAGAGTGAATAGAAACCAACTTTCACTTCCTTCATACAAATTCTTGACAGTGTTGAAGGTGACAGTCATCTTATTGAAGACTTTGTTATTGGCTTCCATTGACTCAATGGTGCCATATACGTCGAATTCGTAGCTGGAAAAGGTATAAGTGAAGCAAAACTGTTTGATGCCTATATCGATCGATAGAGATTTTCAAGCTGGTCATCTTTGCCTCTTGCCAATTCTTCCTATCTCTTCAATGAACCGAGTTAAATCCATTTGAAGTTGGGTGTGAGACGCAGACAAGGCTAGAGTGTCAGACTGTCTGCTTCTCCGCGTCTCTCTGCACATAGGCGCGGAGACATAGATAGTCAGGCACTCTAACCATGTCTGCGTCTCTCACCTAGCTTCAAATGGCTATAACTCGGTTCATTGAAAAGATAGAGAAAATCGCCAAGAAACAAATGTGATCAGCTTGAAATTCTCTATCGATTGGCGTAAATATCATAACAAGAAATTGAAAAAAAAAACCAACTCATCCGACAATTGAGGTCCTGATTCTAACGAACCACCCATATACGAATCGATCAAAGCGTACCAATCCTTTTCATCCTCCAGATCGAAACCATCTTCTGCCAGAGCAGCCACTAATTCTGGATTCTTAATGATAACTCCATCTTCATCCCTTGGACAATCCTTCTCAGATCTTTCAGGCGTTATCCAGACTGGATCACCATTCGGTTTGAAGAAATTCGTTTCTTGCTGATCAGTTTTCGGTTGCTTTTTGATCTTTTTACGGAGAGCTCTCGCCGAAACATTGATTTGACTCGATTCGGGCATCGTTTCGAGACGCTGAAAATAGAATGAGTAAGAGTATAGTAACTCTTTCTTACAGCATCATCCGATCGCTTTTTGGCTCTCTGTGACATCATTTGGAAGAAGCTCTTTATTATCTCCTTATTTGGTCTTTGTGGAGTTTTTTCGTCGTTATCCGTGGATTCTTTCGAGCCATCCGACTTGTTCTCAACTGGAAATTAACACTGGGGCAAGGCAGAGAGAGTACAAAGGAAGTGGAGAGGGCAGCAACGTCTAGGCCCTCCCTCCTCTATGCAACTGTGCTCCTCGTAGCGCAGTGGGTAACGCTGTCGTTTTAGAGTTTACAGACGCGGGTTCGATTTCCTCCCCGATCTATTTTTTTTTCGTTTTTTCTTGGAGATACTTACGCGATGATTGTTTGCGTCCTGCATTGGTCATCGACTTCTTTTTTCCATTCTTCGACCCGATACAACCATCATTCTCACTGGAAGTTTTTGCTTCGATCGAAATCGATTGAGTCGCCGAATTCTTCTTTTTACGGATCGTCGTTTTTGGAGGATCCTTCTCGACTTTCTCCTGAATATTATTCTGATTGAATGAAGCTCAAATTCTCAGGGGATCAGTACTGAACTTCTGGAAATCCAAAAAAAAACCTCCAAAAGTTTTCTGGATCCCGGTTCAGGACAAGGGTGCCATCTCCATACCTTAATCTTTCTCCGGATCTGTTTTCCCTCCCTCGCCATCAAATTGGGTGACATTGCAGTCGGATCCTTGAGAACATTTGCAAGTGGAAGAGGTACTGTAGCCACGGGTGGAACCATGACTGGTGGTGGTAGAGGAGTGGATGCAGGTGATGGAGTTTTCGATGGAAGAGCCACTACGGCTGGCATCGCTCGCGATTTTGTGGCTGTGGTTGCTCCTCGACGTCCTCTGGAAGTTAAAGTCTGACGGCCTGCAGGTAAAGAAGTAACCTGTACGCCCTTTCCCTTTGCAGACAATGTTGCGGGCGTGGCCTAGCGGTTACCGCTGCTGTTTTATAATTTTTCATCGGGAGTTCGATCCCATCTGTGGCCAATCTTTTTTTTTCTTTTTTTCTCGTTCCACCCCTCTGAAACAACTCACTGTGATTTTCCTTCCTTTCGTTTTCCCTTCTCTTCCCGTCTCCGAACGGGAAGGTTACAAGAATTCGGTAGCATCATTTTTATAGTTTTGTTTCGAAATAATTCAGTTTCTGTTTGGAAAGGTTTAATCACGTGTTGGAGCTGTTCTGGTTTAGTTTTGGAAGGGACAGTTCACGGGAATGATAATTAGAAGTTACAAATGACTCAACTTTTATAAAATGAAACGAATCTGTTGCGAAATGTCGCAGTTGTAAATTGGCCAGTTGCGAAGCGGTACGGAGCCTGAAATCATATTTTCAGCTACATGGTGCGGCTCCAAATGACTGCAAGTGAAGACAACTTTTATTGATTTTTCTGTTGTTTTTCGTGAAGCTCTTAGCTTTGGTGTTTGCGTATTTGACGGCGGATCGGACGACAACTTGTTTTATTCTAACCAGAATACGAATTGAGTTATTTCTCTTTTTTTTTCTAAAAAATAAAAAAAAGACGATTTGCCGGGGAGGGGAATCGAACCCCTAAAGGATTTTCCATCCACAGGATCCTAGAGCCTGCGCCTTTCACAGGTGATTCGCGCGAGACCTATCACAGGTAGAATACGGTTCGCGGCGCAGGTGGTTTAGGAACTGGGAACGGGTCTGTAACAGACCTATAATAGACATGTCGCGAACGGTAGCTGTGATAGGTCTGTGACAGACCTATCGCGAAAGATTTTACCTGTAATAGACCTATCGCGAAAGATTTTACCTGTAATAGACCTATCGCGAACGATTTTACCCGTAATAGACCTATCGCGAACAGTGGATTCTAGCTGTATTAAACAAATCGGCGAAAATAATATTATTGAAAAAAAATTATAGAATGAAAAAACTCGGATGCGATTCCTTCACAACCAATACAGCCCGATTGATAACACTAACAAAAAGTATCTAAATTACTTTATTATGGAAGTGCAACTTCAATGTACTAACTTGGAATTTAGAAGAGTTTTTGTTATGTATTATCTATTAGGGACTGACCAGACATGTCTTATTGATTTTATGGACATCCTCAAATCATTGGTTCCTTCCTTGAATCCGATTTGCCTATTTACTCATTGACTTTGACGACACTATTGATTTCTTCACAAAAGTCAAAACAAGGCTGTCTTCCAAAACCTGTCACAGAAAACGTCTTGGAATTGAAGGTTTTCTTCGAATTCCTACAGTTTCTGAGTGGAAAACTTTTTGAAGATCTCGTGGAGACCCTGTCCATGCCTTACTCTCCCCGCATCCTCTGATGATTTTGCGAACGTTCCTGTGTGCTATTCGGTTGAGGGTTATTGTCTCACGGAGAGCGAGAAGGATGCTTTCCGCCGAACTG